TTTTCTTTTTCTTTTGTTTTTTGATGTTTGTCTCCTTCCCACGCAGACAGCCACAGGCAGGCAGCCACAGGCAGGCAGCCACAGGCAGGCAGCCACAGGCAGGCAGCCACAGGCAGGCACAAGTGTCCCTCTGTGTGCCCCGCCCCTGTTTTATGTGCCGCGAATGCCCCGCGTGTTTATTTACTTCTTANGTTTTTTTTTTTTTTGTCTTCTTCGTCTCCCGCCGCCGCGCCTGCCCGCCCGCCCACGCACATGTGCCTGGGCGCAACACACACAGCCACTCACGGGCGGAGAGCAGCGCGGCGTCTGTAGTTCCGTCTTCGTTTGCGTATTGACCTTTAACATCATAATAAACAAACACAAAAACAAGAACAAAAAAGAGAGAGCAACAATAAACGCAAGTAGAACAAACAAAACAAAACAGAACAGAAGGAGGGAAGAAAATCCATTAAAGCAAAGGCCACATCGGTCCATCTATATACGCATATACTTATATAGATAAAGTACGGGGCGTCTGCGGCAATGACGTGTAACCTCGACGACACATGGGTGGAGTGCATGGGTGAGTTCAAGGAGCTCCTTGCGGAGAACGGCGTCCCGTGGCGGTGCTACACCTGCGATGGCGTTGACAAGGAGGCGATGCTCAGCGCACCGGAGGTGATGGACGCCAAGACGGATCCCGGCTGCGGCTACGGCTCTGTTCGCTCCCTCAACAGCCTTTTGAAGGACGGCACCATCCCGTCGGCGGCCACGTTGGGGGGCGCGGCGCTGCTGGATGTCATGGACCTTATTCATGTAAAGGAGCTGCAGTATTTGCAGGGATTTTCTCTCACCGCCGGCTGCCTTGCCTTTGCCTACTTCTTTCGCTTGGATTTGTTAGAGCAGCAGAATCCCACGCTACATGCGTACTGTCGTGGTGTTGCCCGGTGCATCGAGTTGACAACACGGGTTGTTATGACCACGAGGGTTCGAAGCGACGAGGAGTTTATCCCCTGGCTTAAACCTCTGGAGCCGGTGGAGGAGGTCACGGAGGCGCAGATAATGCAGCAACTGGAGGAGGCTGCAGGCAAGGCAGAGTCCCCGGCCATTGCCGCACGGCTGCGGTGGCGGAAGCTCCTCCTCTCCATACTAAGCGCCTTTGTCCTTGGCAGTAAAAAGTCGGAGGCGGAGGAGGCATGCGACCTTTGCCGAGAGGCGTGCGATCTTTTGGGCGCTGCCGAGTTTCAGCGTGAGGCGGAGCCGGTGCCGGATGGCCGCTTCTTCCGTGAGGCGGAGGTGGTTTACTGGGCCAGTTCGTTTACACCCACCAAGCCGCAACCATGCGCCCCGTTCGCGGAGGCAATGCAGGCGTACAAGGTCTTCTTGAGCCAAATTGCATCACTGAAAAATTTATTTACAATGCCGTCGCTGCAGGAAGTCCTGGAGTTCGTGGAGGCGCTGGGGGCGCGCAAGCCGCTGCTGCCCATGAGAGCCATAACTATCGTTTTGCTCTTCCGCCACGACCCGAGTGAGTCCTTCCTGCACGGTCCCTCCCTGCTGCAGCGCGTTCTGCAAGAGCTAGCCGACGAGCATGGCGCGCCGCTCTATCTTAAGATCTTCAACGGCGATGAGGAGGTGCTGGAGGCTGTCGTGAAGTACCGTATTCAGAAGACCATGGACGCGCACAAGATTGCGCCGGATCAACCGATGCTTTTGCGGCAGCAAACCGTCGAGGCCGTACGCTCCTGGGCGGTTGAGATGTCAAAGGCCTACCTGGTTCACCTTGAGGCGGTGATGTGCAACCGTGGCCTTGCCCACCGCCGTCTCATGAACGCGCTGCCGCACCTTGGGTCCTTGCAGGAGGTCTCCTACAGCACCGACAAAACCATCTTCCTCTCCCACCTTCCCTCCGTCGCCCCCGAGATGGAGGCGGAGGCGGCCAAGCGCATGCCCCTCCTCGCCATGTACGTCAACCAACACGTCCTGCATGTGATGCAGCTCATCTTCGCACTGACGCTGGAGCTGGACCTCTTCACGCAGGGAGAGTTGGTTCCGGCCCTCTGGTATTGGAACTTCACGCAGCGGGCGCAGATTGAGAACCTCGGCCTGCTGGCCCCCCCGCCGGCCGCCATGATCCCCGAGACGCGCGTCAACCGCCGCACCAAGGTGCCGCTGTACAACCTTGCCCTCACCACACGCACCTCAGGGCACCCCGACACCGTGCGCCTCACGATGCTCGAGGCAGGGCGCATGATTGCCGACGCCGTGTTTGTGGCGGCGTGCGTGTTGGAGGCCAAGGGACTTATTGACTTGACAAGCGCGGCGAAGCATTCCCTCATGACCGTGGAGAACGCCTTCAACCATCGCATGAAGTGCCTTCAGCACATCCGCAGCCCACCCTTCACACCGTACTCCCACTGCATCGCCGCAAAGCTCAACATCAGCACCAGCGAGAACTTGGACTCGCGAAAGGTGTTTCTCTACGCCCAGAAGGCTGGTGAGATTGCCGTCAGCGCTGCCGACAAGCTGAAGCAGCTCATGGCGTCAAAGGACCTTGACCAGGCACGCAAAAAGACGATTCAGCCACAGGTGGAGAATATGGAGCGAACTGCCAGGGCCGTGGGGGCGTCGTTAGCCGCCTTTGCCGCCGTCAGTGATAACGATGAGGCGCTGCAGGGCTACCACGTCAGCGCCGAGTACCCCTTCGATCCCTCTATGCTATGCTTCACCTTCCGCAAGAAGTAGACTCGGTGAGACGAGAGGGGGCAGCAGCAGCATTTTATTCTTCCTGCCGTCCTCGGCCCACTTCACAACCCCACACCCGCACAGGCGTACGGACCCGCGCAACGAGAGCCATCCATGCTAATATATACATGTATCTTGGGCGACAACGTTGCAAAGAAGAGTAGGCAGCGCCAGAGCACCCACACATAACCGCGTCTTTGTGCCGTTCTCACCCCAACTTTCCCCCTCCCTGTGTGTGTCTGTGTGTGTGTGTGTGTGTGTGTGTGTGTGTGTGTG